AGCCTTGCTTTATGGCCTAACATATGGTCTATCATGGAAAAAGTTCCATGTCCCTGTGCCCTTCTTATCTGTGTATTTCTGTCTGTCCAGCTTTCCCCCTATATGAATGCTACCCTTCTGGTGTCTCATGGCTGATTGACTTTAGGGGTACATGAAGAACTTTCTACTTTTGGGCTGAGGTCCAATTCATGGAATTGAGTCCATTTTTAGGCCTGAAGGGTAACTTGGGACTGTAGTCTCAGGCGTTCCATCAGTCTCTATTTGACCAGTAATTCTGGTCATTTTTGTGTTTTTGAATTTTGTCCACATTTCCCCTCCCACTGTATCCAGGATCTCCAGTTTCCATCCCTTTCTAAGCAATTGGCATTGGTAGCCAGGCACCATCATTGTAGTTTTGATTTACATTTCTCTAATAGCTATGTGAGAATCTTTTCATGTGCTTGTTGGCTATTTAAATATTTTTTTGGTAAAATGGCCAAGTCCTTTGCCCATTTTTTGGTGAGGTTGTTTGTCTTTGTGCTAAGTTGTAGAAACTTTTTATATATTTTGAATATTAGACCCTCAATAGATACATGATTCCCAAAAATTTTCTCCTGAACTGTAGGTTTCCTTTCACTGTTTTGATAATTTATAAAGTTTTACTTGATTAATTTTCTAAAATAGATCACCAGGCCTTTCTTTCTAGATTGTCTTAGTCTGGAAGCTCTGCTGAAACCTGTTCATCATGGTGATCTTGCTGGTATTGGAAATATCAGTGGCATAGCTTCCAGCATCATGACAGCGTGCAAGCCACCATAGTATAACAGACTGACAGATGAGTGGTGTGTTAACAGTGGCCAAATGGCACATCTTTTGGGAGAATCTATTTTAGAAAAAAGATAGTGTATTTTTAGAAATATAATGAAGTTGCCTTGATATCGAGGTGCTTTTTAAAAGTTAACTCTGCGTGCATGAGCTGTTGATTGTAAAACAAATTTGTTCTCTAAATCTGCACCCAAAGTACAATAAAATTTTTTGGGAAAAATAGTTAAATCTGGTGTTTTTATCTTTGTTTTTTTTTTTTTTTTTTTAGCAGGAGAGATGATGTCTGAGGTTGAGCAGTTCCTGGAGCTACAAATGGTCCCCTTAGTGGTAATCAGTGCTTACCGCAAGGCATTGGATGATATGATCAGCACCCTTAAGAAAATCAGGTATTGGGAGGGGCAGGAATGGGTACTGTAGA